AAAAAAATAAAAAAATCTAAATCAAGAATCTATCTTGAAAGCAGATGATACAAATTTAAGAATAGGTCTCTTCTACTTTTCTCTCATATTCAGGTGTCATTTGTTTATGGCTGCTTGTTATTACTCGCAATATTGTAATTCGGCGTACTAGCGGCGTTGATGAGATACGGACGGGGCAGAGCAGGGCAGAGCGGCCGGCGTTGGTGCCCTAGTAAAGTATTGTTGTACAGGGACGGGGCCTGCTCCCTGCTCCTGCCCCCTGCCCTGCCTGACGCGGTATTGTTGGGAAGGGGAAGGGGCCTGAAGCGACACTCGGACAGGCAGTCAGCCACTCACTGATTCCCCTAGCGCCAAATAAATTGTTTTCTGGTCTCCGCTTGGTTCTCTGTCCTTATCGAGAGTAAAAGCAAGCTGACACCTTAAAGTTACTTACATATTCTTTACGTTTAGTCAAAAGGTTTTTAAGGTATCATCTGCTAAAAATTGCTGACAAGCACAGGCGGGCCTCAGCCACCTGGCGTTGGGCCGGTTGGACGACGGGCTCGGCCAGCGCCGCCGCGAGCTGTTCAGGCCGCACCACCTGCTTTAGCTTCTTCCCCCCGCTGAGCAGTTGCTTCTTCCGTTGGACGCTGCGCCGGGTAACCTCACGGCAAGTCCAGCGGTGCATCGGCGGGTGGCTGCCCCCCGAGCTCCTCCACCGTGTCGACCAAGGCGTAAGCGATGTCCTGCGCCACAACGTCGGTCTCCACGGTGTCGAGGACGTCGTGTGCGATGTTCACTGCAGCCACGTCGTGCTCTTCAAGTTCCTCGAAGAAGGCGGCCGCGTTGGACGCCACCCACTCTACATCCTCAGCCGCCAACATCTCCCTTTTGCGCAAACAGAGACCAACAACCGTCACACAATACATAATAATATTCAGGGGGGACCCTCTAGACAGGGGACCCTCCAGATGTTTCCCAAATGAACATGACAGTGATTAAATAACAATCTAAAAAAATCTATACCCCTCGACAAGGTAAAACTATAAGTCTAAACTAAATAAACGACAACAAACAACAGAAGATAAAATCTTTGGTAAAAATGTGGTTTGTAAAAAAAGGTAGATAATTCTTTGGTATGAAATACTGAATATAAGTTAAAACATATGGGTTAGTACAGGGAATACTTTGGTATAAAATAATTTGGTTAGATACGTGAAAAATCTTTGGTATATCACAATCGAGTTAAATCTAGGTAAGTACACAGGGTAAAAGTATTTGAAAAAGTTACACGATAAAATCGTACTGAGCGGCAAGTGCGAGCGAGCTCGGGGCTCGCTCGCTCCTCAGGTTCAGGCAGGAGTGCGCCCGCCCAGGGCGGGCGAGGCGCAGCTCGCTAGGGTCCGGTCGGTGCAGCCAGGCACGGCTGGCTGGATGGCTCGCCACGCACGGAGTCGTGGTGTGCGGGAGCGACCAGGAGTCGGGTTGCCTATCTCGCGCGTCAAACGCAGCTAGATTCAAGTACCCAGGGGATGACGAACGCGTGTGTGATCGCACATCACAACAATATAATCCCTATGCCTCCACCAGGTAAAAATGTGTTCTTTTTCTTTGCAGGTATCTTATCTTACCGACCATCCAAGTACTGACAACAGCTACCCTTCTAGCAGTTATGGTTGGAAATGATCAGGAGAAGTTTTGCCACTCTTTCTCAACTCAAAATTAAAAGAAGAAGAAGAAGAAGCAGAAGGAGAAGAGTTTAAATTCATTGTGTACCGTCAATCATTGCATGCAAGTCAATGCACCTAATAACCCAATGCATTTCCAAAGTTGAGTTGTAATTTTACTTTTCAAATCACGCACCATTGTACTACCCCCGTGTCAACTATTGATTGTCGTGTGGGAGCGTCGGTGGCGCGAAGGAATAACGTCAGCAGTCGAAGTAGGGTTAGTAGTGGCGAAGGCGTTGAATGTCTCCACCTGCTGCCGGGAATATTTCCGTCGGAAGCCTGATGCACGACGGTCCGGGTGCCCTCGATCCGATTATCTTCCTGTGGAAGTCGAAGAATTGTTGGGCCCGGCGTGGCGAAGCGAATTTGGTGTGGTCCACCAGTAGGCACCTCGGCAGCCAAACGGAGTAGGTCCTTCCCAGCCGCCGAGTCCTCTTGTTCCGAGGGGGAAATCACTAGGGTTCGTAGCGTACGGACTATTTCGTAGTATTTCTCCTACCATTTCGGTTATTTCTCCTGCCATTTCGGCTATTTCTTGCTTATTTCGGATTATTTCAGGCTATTTCGCGCTATTTCGGAGTATTTCAGGGGTATTTCGCGACTATTTCACCGACTATTTCGCGTCTATTTCGTCTT